TCCGGACGCATTGGGGGGTACCTCGGCACCGGATACACAAACTCAAGGACAGCACCGGCGTCATCTCGTGGAGGCTCCATCGCCTCCTTGATGTCCTGCACCACTTCGAAGGGGGAGAGCGCTCCCTCGGTGAGCGCCGTCCCATCGAGTGACGCCCCGGGCGCCATCATGTGCAGGGGAAGCGCACTCCTCATCAGTGGCGCCACTCTCCGTGTGTGGTAGGCGTCAATGATCCCCAACCCCTTCACACCCCTCTCCTTCAGAATTTGAATGGCGGCGAGATGGTCCTAGATTCTCTTCTTGTCTTTCTCTAGGACTCCCCACTTCCTCCACAATTCCAGGACCTCTTCGATGAGGCATCCAGTGAACTCTGGCAAGGGGGTGGCTGTGTCGTTCTTGACCTAGAACCAATGCGAATGCCACCCCTTGTTGGAGGTCGACAGACGCATCGACGGGTACTCGTTGACCCAGTTGTTGTGGAGCTGAATGCCGGCGCATCCCATCGGCACGCTCAGCTCCTGCCTCTTCTCTCGCTTCTTCAGGAGGGTGACAACGAAGAAGTACCGCCACAGGTCGAAGTGGGGGCTAATCCCCAGGAATCCCTCATACAGGGCGACGAACGTCGTAATGTGCTCGATTCCGTTGGGATTAAGGTGCTGCAGCTCTACCTTGTAGTAGTGCAGCAATCCCTGAAGAAACTTGTGGGTGGGGGTGGCGAATCCTCGCTTGTGGAAGTGAGCGAAGGACACGACGTAGCCATCGGGCGACGACGACGCGTCCTCATCACCGGGCAGCCGCCACTCCTCGGCGGTAGTCTGCGCACAAAGAAGACCACGCCGAACGAGGCCCTCCCGGCGCTGGAGGGTGATATCAGAGCGGCACCATGGCTCCATTAGGGGATTAGGGTGGGTGGATATGAATTCAATGACGGCTGAGACACGGATGTGGGAGGCTTAGGTGATTGGCGGCGGAGGTTATAGAGGCAAAGGCAAGGGGGCAAAGTACAAAACCCTAGGGGCAAACCCTTTGGTTTTATAGGGGCGACGGATGCAAGGAAGGCAACCATTTGCCTAGATCTCCACGCCTGCCACGATCCGCCACCACATCACATCGCGGGATATGCGCCCGCAATCTCTATCCTTTCCCTCCGAAGACGCGTCGGACGTTTTGCCTCCCCGGGCGGACCAAGACTCTTTACTAGCAAAAGGGATACGGGTCAAGGAGCGTTTCTTCGGCCCGCCTGGGCCCAGGAGTTCGAGGGTTGGCCCATCAATGGTTTCGACGGCCGTCCCAAACACCCCTACAACAAAGGGTGGAAAGAGTTGGGCCCCATAAGCGGCCAGCGGCTAGACACACGAGCGCCACGAGCACCTCGGCCCACGATTAAGTCTCAGCCAGGCTTTCCCTGATAGGATCTCCGTGAACGGGATACCGGGACCCCAATCAAATTGTCTAGCTAAACAACCACCGAATCTCACCGCCGTACCCGTAAAGGGTCCGAATCACCCCCAGACGATTCTATCCGAATCACCCGGGGGCTCGGGGGCTACACCTGATGGGTACGCTCGCGCGCACCCTCTCGCAAGACAAATCACCCGGGGGCTACACCCGTTGGGTGCGCTCGCGCGCACCCTCTGGCAAGTCAAAAAATCCCTCGGGCGATTCTATCCGAATCACCCGAGGGCTACTATCGGGGACCAAATACTAGGGTACCCAAAGAGGAGGAGCTAATAACCATCAACGTTGGTACATCCGAACAAGACAAGAGCGCGACTACACCTCTTGCCCGACGCCCGAGGGTTAACTCTGTCTCGTCCGACCCCCGAGGGTTGGCTCCGCCTCGCCCGATCCTTGAGAGCTGGCTCCGCCTCGCCCAACATCTAAGGGTCGGCTCAATCTCGCCCGAGGTCTGAAGGCTGGCTCCGCATCGCCTGACATCTGAGGGCTGGCTCCGCCTCGACCTGACCCCCAAGGGCTGGCTCCGTCTCGCCCGACCCCCGAGGGGTGGCTCCGCCTCGCCCGACATCTGAGGGCAGACTCCATCTCGCCCGACCCTGAGGGTTGGCTCCGCCTCGCCCGACGTCCGAGGGCAGACTCCGTCTCGCTCGACCCCCGAGGGCTAGCTCCGCCTTGCCAGATGTCCGGGGGCTGGCTCCGTCTCGCCCGACGTCCGTGGGCTGGCTCTGCCTTGCCTGATGTTTGTGCACTGCTCCTTCATAACTACGCGTGCGGATAAGGCAAGGCACTCAAGTCAACCGTAATACCGAGGACCATACCCTGCACGTCTACAAGAAAGTACCGTCAGGATATGACAAGACGGGCGCTTTAAGCCCTTCCAGGCATGTTAGAGCCCGAATAGTGTTGTAGGCGTCGATATTTGTCTTACAGTATTGTGGGCGCCGCCATTTGCCCTCGGGCGTGGATCCTGATGGAAGCATACGACAACCACTACGGTCCAGGAGGAAACTCGCATTATCTACAGTGACGGACGTGCGGTCACTGCGCCGTCTGCTTCCCATAGGGTCGCGGATCAGCACCCTGGTCCGTCGCGCTGCCCGTCGGGACGGGATGGGACGTGACCACTTGCTAACAAAGCCAGAACATGGCATCATCAGCGGATAGACGCCCAGCGCGGCCCTATCAGGATCAGCAGACATGCACCCAGCATGGAGCTATTCCTGGCACCGTCTACTGTGTCAGCGGGGGCTCGCTCAGAGGAAAAGGAAGACCCGGCATCTTCGAAGGACCTCCTTGACCTCTGGTTTTTCTTCTTTCTCCCATCTGTAATCCCTGCTTCTCCTTGGTATATAAAAGGGAAGACAGGACACCGTACTAAAAAGACGGATCGATTTAACACATCACGCATCACATCACACATAGCTGAGCAGCAACCGAACTCTCAGCATCTATTCGACCTTTCCATTAGAGACTTGGGACATGTCCCTCTCTCGCTCGTTTATAACTTCTACTACTAACTTTTTAGTGCTAATAACACGAGCAGCAGCCACGAACTGGACGTAGGGACATTCTGTCCGAACCAGTATAAACCTTGTCTTTTAGCACACCATCCGGATCAGACGCGCAATAATACAAATTTACTCGTTGGTGTTTATTCGAAACACCGACAAGTAGTATTTTGACAGACTCCTTGTTTACTTCAAAAATTACTTAAATATCTTGTATTTCATGACAGAAAAGCGTACTTACCACGGCTCCTCAAGAACTCTTATTCGGAATATGATAGCAAATCAGCAATGACAATATCTGGGGACACACCGACGGCGAACTCTCACGTAAAACTGAATAATAAATAATGGAATCCTGGTTGATAAGGTTTATAAAAACAAACTCCTCTGCTAAAACAAATATGCTGTTATTCCTTTGTGCATTCCGTAAAATGTGACAGTTCTTACAATTTCAAACAGCAGATTTGGATCGCTCTGTATACAGGAATCTTCCTTCCCTGATCCTCCGTATAGCAGAGAGCAAGAAATTGCGTAATTGAATTTGTGCACGCCAATTATTTTGAGATGATATCATTAAACCACTCCAGTTGCAGTTGTCAATGCTCAAGAAACATACAGCTATCAGGGTAAAAAAACTCCTTCCAAGGTGGCTAGACAGTCGTCGCGTATTTCAAATTAAAAATAGATTTTCTCGTGTAGATCAAGAAAACTTTTAAACCTATACCCCTCCTTACACATTGGCACACAGCTTCGTGAGATGAGCCAATTAGGAACAGACGTCCCTCCCGTCAGAAGAAAGCCTGTTCATTTATTAATTTTAATTCAAATTTACCGGCCAGCCGACCATTCCCAGGGTACTCAAAAAGACAAGGAGAAAGCCTGTTCATTTATTAATTTAACTTATATTTTTCTCTCACAAAAATCAAACCAGCGGACAGGCTCGTACCAACAAAACAAAGGTACCGGACAGTGTTGTACGATATTGCTTTTTAAACAGAAAGATACTAGTGCTATGTAACATGGTGGACCAAATCATCGAATGCTTCTTGAGCACATTGCACATCGGATTAAACAAAGTCAAGAAGTGGCTGCAATTAACATAATCATGTCAGCAATGCATACAGACCAAGCAATCGAGAACTCGCAGAACCACTGCATATGCTGCATTCATCTATAAAAGACTATAAATTTGAGGGTCCCGGTGTCCCATCGCAAACACTGTTCAGTAACGGATCACTATGAACAGTTCCGAACCCGCTAAGGAACAGTACCATCCTTTCCTCTCTTTTTTTTTTCTCTCACAGCGTCCACTGTTGCCCGCGCGAAGCTTGGTTACCTGCTAGTTTCAAAGAAACATGGAGAACATTGCTGTCAGGCCATGGAGGGTCCCTTGTATTTAGTGGCAAAACAAAAACACAGTTGAATCCAAAAAAAAAAGTGGCAACCGTTCAGGTCTTTGGAGTCAGGAGTATTTTCCAGAATACAGTCTTTTCTGTTAAAAAATTACTATAAGATTCTTGTAAAATTTCTATGTTATCTGCATTCCAATTTGCCATTAGCATCACTTGCATCACTCTGCAAAAAAAGGAATCATATACCTCTTAGCCTCTTAGGTACCAGAGGGATGAACACAGTACTCGAATACAAATGAGTGTGCAACAAGTATTTGAAAATAAAATGCCATGTAGTATTCCTGAACCTACTTCCAAAGCGATGGTAGGCTGTATATAAGATATACAATTGTTTCTTAATAAATTGAAATGTCGTCTAAAGTTACAATTCCAGACACTGCCTACTGTCGTGCTGAAGCCAAAAACCCAAACAATCATTCTTCTATACCAATGGAGTAGCCTAAACCCCAATATACGAAAATTTTACTATCTCGATATGCCTATCTCGTCTAATCACGATGGATTAACACACCGACACAACCACTTTTACATCTTACTCACTAATCAAAACCCGAAAAATAAGTGGGGAAAACACCCGTTCCACATAACGTCGTGCACATGGCACGCGCTCTACGAAGCTGGCCTAATGGTAGAAGACGACGGGCGGGACGGCGAGCCCGGAATCCTTGAGGAACGGGACTACCTGCGGATGCTCGGAGAGGTCGTGGTAGAAAGCGTACTCCGCTTCGTAGTCGTGGAGGTCTAGCTCCGCCTTTTGGTTGCTATGGTAATGGTGCTTGGCGTCGGAAGACTTGCCGAAGCCGAACACGCTGACTCTGTCACACACTCCCACCGCGACCATGATGGCCTGCATCCCGGACGAGTAATGGAACATGGCGGCATCGTGTGCGCGGTCCCACTCCTCGGGCGCGCGGCCGGTCTCGGCGACGAATCGGCGGAGGGAGTAGTACTTGACGATGCGCGCGCAGAGGACGTCGAGGCGGGCGTCGGTGACGGAGATGGGGGAGCCGTGGCGGGAGGACGAGGTGGCGTTGCAGGCGGCGACGTCGAGGAAATGGGCGGCCTGGCAGATGTAGAGCAGGATGGGGACGTCGTGGCCGTAGGGGTGGCAGAAGCAGCCGGGTCGGCGCGCGCAGAGGTGAAGGATGTTGCTGTTGATGAAGGAGTAGTTGGTCTTGCTGCCGACGTGCGCGGCGTAGCCTGAGATGCGGGCGTTGTTGAGGCGGAACACGGCGGCGTGGGAGTCGATGAGGGCGCCGTGGTGGGCGCGCAGGAGGATGCCGCTGTTGCCGACGACGGCGCAGGAGGGGATGCGCCCGGGGATGGAGAGCAGGGAGGGGAGGCTGGCGAGGACGGAGGGATCATAGCGGCGGAGGCGGTGCCAGGAGCGGAGGTC